AACCGGACGAGCAATGCTGAGGTTAGGCGTAGAGTTTTAGGTAATCGCGGTCGTCCACTAAAGCAGGTAGTCGACCTCCATAGATTATGTTGGTTGGGACATGTATTACGCATGTCACCAAATAGGTTGCTACGGCGAGCGATGTAGTGGATGGAAGAAAGCCAAGGGTGGCCAAGCTAAGACCTGGCATAACGGTATAAAAACCCTAAACAGTAGACTCGATCGCATAATTCCCGTTAGGCTCCCTGGCTGGGGACCTCGGGATGATCGTAACTGATGGTTGGACATACTGAGTGATGTGACTGAGTGTTGTCAACAGTGGCGTTCGAGAATCTTCTCAATTTCTCGACAACATTAGTCCACTGAAATTCTCCATTTACTATTCCTTTCTACTTTCCTCTCTTTCTCCTACTGGTCATCCAAACGGGCAGCCAAAAGACAGTAACCAAAACCGGCCCACGAAACTGCATGGGTACTGGTTGTTCAAACTGAAACAACATCTATTCTTGAAGTTCACATTCCAATCACATCGAAAGGTATCGAATTCATCAATCCGGACAACACCATCCTCATGTCAGGATGTAGCCAGCTTTCCCGGAGAGGATATTGCTGGAAATAATAACAGAAACAGTCAATCTATTGATGGAACGCCGCCCAAGAGCGACCGTCCAGAGAACAAACGACTAAAATTGATAAATTAATAAAAACAGAGATGTAGAAAACATGTCCGTCGGACAACATTTGACCTTGAAATTTAAGTGAATTGCTTCAGCAACGCAGTTTTCCACTTTATAATCGTGAAGTAATATCCAATGGTAGCAAGGGCATGACTAAATTCTGAATCCCCGCCAATTGCGTATCCGGCGGCCTGTTCAAGTTTTGAACCCAGGTTCCCTTGCGTAGAATGTGTGTTACCACTGTGTCAACCAGTTGACTAGAATCACCGACTGAACATCGTTTTCAATGGCAGTCAGTCAAATCACTAATCAGACACTGAAAGTTTAGTCACCTCTGGAATATTCAATAGGCGAATATTCTTGTCGATCTTAAGATCAGTATGCAAGGAAATATTCTCCCCAATGTCTCACTGATTCACGAGTCGAATTGGTTGTGAGAAACACAGGTAATACGAAAATAGGGGGGAAATTATTCATTGAATAAAACCGATCTGGTGGATCACATTCACATACTTGTCGCAGATCCCCCCTGGCAGGTTCTTTAGACTCAATCAAACTAGCCAACTGGTTGATAAATTTCGTAAACATCCAGTAAGAACCAGACTCAAACCCCCCAGGACGTACTCAGTTATCTTGTTGCCTCCCTCTTCGTTCCGCTCCAATTAATCAATACATGCACATCGCATTTCAGTGCAGCCAGCTGCATGTTCGTAGCCTCCTTGTTCGGGATTGTGGAGGCCGTGTGGAACACGCAGATTAGTGTTCTTTTGGGCAATCTGTTCAACGAACACGAACCGGACGTGGCCGTCTCGTTCTCCCTGTATCGTTGCATACAAGTAAGTCCATCTGTCTCGAATGGCCGATACATGTTGGCCGCTTTTGGTGCACGTGACCCGATTCACGATGAGCGGATTTTACGCGGAACTGCTTGAGCAACTTTGTTATTGATTTTCTGTTCAAAGTTCTCTCCTATTAAATTTTTTTGAGTGCTGCGAACCAAGCCTGTAAAGAAAAAAGTATTTTGGATTATCTTAAAACTCTAACATTCCTATTATATGAGAGACGAGAGCCAAGAAAATCGAATATTTGCGTATTGACTCTAAAAGCACAAATAGTAGTAACCAGGTCGGTATTGACGATAAGACTTGATCTGAAACGAAGAACACCCGAGGAGGCTAAGAACTACTCTGGTTAGTTTACCACTAGTCTCTGTTCTTGTTGAACAAACCTAGTGCGTGATATGGGTACCCATGCGGCCGCCGACCAGATCACCCATACCTTTACGGTCCTTCGGGAGATGAAACCGACCAGTATGGGTGATACTTGAAACGGGAGCTTCAATTTATTCCAGAAGTGATCGAGTTAACTTCTTATTTGATTTGACCAAGTTATTCGACGCTTCTGTTTTTTTTAATGCGATAACTAGTATCTATTATTCATTTGTGATTTATACTTATGATGTATAGTAATGCATCTTAGAAAAATAGCGTTTTTTTTATCTTCCTATCGAGCAGTTTTCCTGTTTTAGGTAAGAGATTGTGATTAGTGGTCCAGGATGTGCGTTTTGAAGTCGCACAGGGACATCTCCATCAGAGAGATTTATTGTTTTCTATTGTGTTTGTTCTCTCTCTCTTTATACGCGTCGTACTGTTTTGGTTATCTCTTCCCGGTTCGTTTAATGCTTTCCTCTTCGCTGTTTCCTCGTTCCACTTTCGCTTTTTTATCCACACAGTCTATCATGGCTGCCGTCACGTTCTCCTATTGTAATGCTCTGCAGTTGCACTGGCATATGCTGCTGTTTGTTATTTGGGCCACGGCCGGTTTGGCTTGCTTCAGCTACGCCTATTGGTCGCACCTTCGACGAACACATCGAAACCGTTTGGGTTAGATGTGAATGCCGGTATCTTTGTGCATGGAGAACTCAAACCGATGTGTACACACACACAACTAGGTTGGCAACTTGAACCACTTTTCAAAACAATTCTTCTCACAAGACTCTGTGATCGTGTCGGATCGGTATCTTTTCATACCAGTCTTTTTTTTACCATCAGGCCCCTTTTCCTTTTCGATATTTACTTGCTTCAACTTATTGTTTTACCTTGATTATACGTTTTTATGAAATCACGTGATTTTTTACAGATATGTACATTATTCAGCTACCGCACCATATGAAACACACTAGGCTTTCACATCTATCTGGTTTTGTTATCGGTGCTGTGTAGGTGAATTAAAAAAAAACGATTTTCTCACCAACCGGTGTGTACTGTTGAGCGCGCTATTTATCAACCAATGTCTTCTTCTATTCCCGCAAAGATTAGCCATCGAACACTACCGGGGTTAGCTTTTGATTGTCATGATGGTCAGACCTTTTAATTGAACCGTTAGAAAGGATGTGGACAGAACGTTTTATTTCTTCATTGCATATCTTATCGCTGCGAACATTAGTCACGAGGATCTACTGGTTCGTTATGGGGATCGTGACTTAAACCTCAGGACGTGGAGTATCATCTTACGCAAAGCCCCATTGTGATAGCTTACATAAGGGGTATTGGGTCGGAAAACAACAGAAATGCCTACCACCAAATTTGGGTCAAGTCAAAGTTTCATAATGGAAATACTTACGAACAGTTGCATTTCTTGTCCCATAGGGTCTAGCACAAATAGATCGTTTTACGATCCATAGGAAGATGAGGAATATCACAAACTATCTTTGTTTCGTGCACTGCTACGGATGTCGAAATCTAAGATCTTTCAATCTTTCATCCAGTTTTTGTTTGAAGGAATCAATTGTGGGCCCAGAAACAACTTGAGGTGGTAGAGAATTCCAAATGCTCCACACTCTGAGGGTAAATTAATGACACTGACATTCTATTCACCATTTTGGAGCTCTAATTTGAGTGCTTGCCTCCTGAGGGTTGTGCGACAAGGCAAACAGTGAACGACATGAGCTATCAGGGTTCCGCACTATTTGACACGCCAAAATCGAGTCCCCTCGAATTCGGCGATACTGTGTGGACTACTGCTCCAATGATTCCAGTCTTTTCATATAAGTCTTGGAATGCAGTCCGTTGAACATTTTAGTGACCGTTCTTTTGTGGATATTCCAGAATATTACGATTCCGCGCTTGAGTGGCATACTCTATATGGGGTCGATTGTAGGCTGATAAAAAATGCGGGAACAGCCTAGGTCCAGTCACACGAGATCCATGGATGGAATGGATCTCAATGAAAAACTTGGGCGTCGTGCTCATGAGTATTGAGGAAATTAGCTTGTGTCTGTGGCGCATGTTGTATAGGCCGTACAGTAAGGTGTTTGTTTCAGCGCGTTAAGGAGCACCATCCGCGATGGTTAAGTCAGGGGAAGACTGGCTGTATCTCGAGCGCGTTCGTGGGGCATCTCGTCGACACCGTGCACAAGATCGAAAGGGGGGAAAGCTTTCGATGTTGTTTATCGTATCCCACTCAATCGGTCGAAGGCGGCTCGATTTTGGATACTGGCCATGGCCGAGGCGATCGCCATTCGCTTTCTGAGCACCAACCTGTGTACCCTAAAACGACTGGTGCAGGCGCTCAATTGCTTTGGCCGGGTATGAAAACCAAGACAGAACATGACGTGCCACTTGACACAAGTAGGGAAAGGTCACATCAACTAACACGCTTACCATTCCTACACACACACGCATACATTTCCATTACTCTCTACCTCCGATTAATGACCTTAAATTGAGCTAATGGCCATCATTATGTAAAAACTACCCACTGTATGATATGTAAGAGCATGACTAGGAATATCCGAAAACAATTGTTCGCTCACCGATTCGTTTTCTCAAATTAGCTTGTCTTAGCCACGATGAACGAAAAACCAAAACACAAGGCGTTGATGACAACGTTTCGACCCTCTTGGAAGGCCTTTCTCAAGTCGTTTAATGGGTTAATCTTACGTTACAAACAATTCTAAGGCGATGGGATGATGACAACGTATAGAGCTCGGATCCGGAAGTTATTTATATTCTAGTAAGTACGGAAACCGGGTGGCGAAGGTATAGGACCTTACATTTTTATGCATTGAACTCGATCGCCGATTGATAAGCAATGTTAGATGTTCTCTGAAGTGCCAGTGAGTCTTCAGGTTTTGTCACTGTTTTTCATATTTTTGCGTCGTCTGCAAGCATTAACATTTGTGGCTCCAGAATGTCCGTTAGATCATTTTGAAAACTAGGGAAGTTGAGGGTCGAGCACGGAACCCTGTAGAACTCCTCGGACTACGCTGATATGATCTGAGAGTGACCCAGAAACCCGAGTTGCTATGGTGCGTTGTCGAAGAAATCGTTCTATCCAATCCAGTACTATTCACCGAATTCCATAATCGTGCAATTTCCCCATCAGTATTTTGTGGTTTACTCAGTCCAATGCTTTGAAGAAGTCGAGGTACACGACGTGCACTGCATCACCTTGATCGACTACTTTGGGTCCACTCTTTTCGGGCCAGAAGCAGGTTAGTGGTACACGATCACCTACGACAAAACTCGTGCTGCACGGGGATGAAACGTATTTTTCAAAGTGACTCATCACATTGTCTGCAACGATGGGTTCATTGTCTGGATAATACAGGTGTGAAAATGATTACCAGCGAGTTAACTGATAACAGATATTTGCCAGGTTTTCTACATATTTTCCGCTAGACACCTCAAAGCACCCTCGAATTCGAAAAACAAAAACGCGGATTTTATCGCAACAAGTGTCATACTACTAAAGAAAAACATCAAGAGGCATCCGACGAATTTTGACTCGCTTCAATATGCAGTGCGACTGCTCCGTCGTTTGTGACGTTGGTACAGAAATCACGCAGCACGTATGAAGACCCGCGGGAACGCTCTAAAATGATAGTAGT